GGATCACAAATATTCATTTAGTAAAAAAATAAAATAAAATAAAATTAGAGAAATTGCATTTCCTAGTGTGAATGCTTATTGCTTAAGAACTTGATGAAAACCTGCTGAAATTAGCTATAAACATGCTAAAATGTAGCTGAAATGTAAGAACAAGCCCAAGGTAGCAGAATAAAGCAGAAATAATAAATATGTACTGAATTAGGTTTAAATAAGTAGAAATGAAAACAAAAAAAAATAGGAACTCAGCTAAAAAGCTGAATTTAACAGAAAAGTAGCTCAAAAGTATTTGAAAAGGCAGAAAGAAGCACACCAGAAGTAAGTGGAAGGAGCTGAAACAAGCGAAATAAAAATAAAAAATGGGGAATTAGCTGAAAAAGCTACAAATCCGCAAAAAGACCTAAATAGTAGCTGAAAGAGCAGAAAAAGCTGAAATTAGCATAACACAGTTAATGAGGCTGAAAGTGGCAGAAATTAACATGGAAAAACTTGAATTTATCTGAAAAAAGCTGAAATTAGCTAAAAATGCTAAGAAGGTAGCTTAAAAAGTAGAAGAAGTTTAAATTAGCAGAAGAAAGTGAAAGAACATGTTTGCCCAATTAGGCTTAAACCGTAATGAGCACAAAGAAGTGAAAAATATCTGGAAAAAAAAAACAAAAAAAAAAAACAGATGAAAAGTAGCTAACAAAGCAGAAAGCAGCTTAAATCACCAGAAGGAAGTGGAGAGAGCATATTTTGCTGAATTAGGCTGAAAAATGTTGAAATGAGTGTCAAAACATGTGGAATTAGCCAAATAAAAAAAGAAGCCACCACAACTAGCATAAAACAGCTATAGCAGATAAAGCTGAAACTTGCATAAATAAGCTGAAAGGAGCATAAGTTGAAATGAAATCAGCAGAAAGAAGTTAGAAGAAGCACAAAAATGTTGTAGTTAGCAGAAATAATCTGACAGGAGCACAAAACAACTGAAATGAGCTAAAATTACCTGAAAACGTTTAAATTTGCACAAGGAAGCTGAAAGAAGTTAAACCAGAACAAAATGTGAAAAGAACAGTAAAAGGTTGTAAACTGATTTAAAGGTTTGACGGATGGGAAATGAGTTCAATTCATTTTCCATGAAGGAAAAAGTGGTAGAAAAGACTAAATATTTCAAAAAGCTAAAATTTCCTAAATACCGGGAGTCATAGCACCCGTCTCCTGAATGAGTTGAATGTTTTGATATATGATTTGTTGAAACAGCACAAACGCTGTGAAATGAGAAATGTGAAAAAAAAAAATGGATAGAAGAAAAATGGATCACAATAGTGTGAATGCTTCATAAACAGTCACACAATAAAGGCTGCAGGGCCTTCCTGAAAGCTCAGCGTGTTTTGGTGCCCTGAGCTTTGGTACTCGCTCTACATCATCATTGTGACTCATTATTTTTCCATCAGTTATTATACAAACTCATCCTGTAGAAACTTTGATTCAGCTCAGCCTTCTCATCCGATTGTAAAGTCCTAAAAACGAGAAAGAAATTAAAGTTTCTGCCTGGAAACACAAATTTAAAAAGGATCTGATTGGATAACTATTTTCCATCCATCCATTATCTTTTACCCGCTTTTTCTTCCATTTTGGGTCACAGGGGTCGCCGGTGCCCAGGTCCAGCAATCACTGTGCGAGGGGCGGGGTACACCCTGGACGGGTCGCAAGTCCATCACAGGATAACTATTTTCATGAACTAAAAGGTTTCTTGCTCAAATTAAGTAGCTTAAAGAAAATAAGAGACATTACCAAAACATAAGAAAAGCAACATTAAAAATATTTGATTTATATAAAATAAAAAATTTAAATGCAACATTTCACATGTGCTGAATTCTTAAGGTATAATCTGAAGGCGTAGAAGGCCCTGAGGGTTCCCCACTGGTAAAATACCTTTAAGCAACACAATGACAATCCTAATCCCAGAATGGGAAAGGAGACCATCTGTTTTTCTTAATCTTATTAAATTTTCTGTTTTTCATCCAGCTTAAGAGAAGAGTGGAGCGATTTTACTCTGAACTGATGGCTATGAGGACAGGACTTGGCAGCATCAGCAGCCCAACCAGAAGGGTCGGAGGAGGAGGAGGACGGTGTGGGGGTGGGGATTGTTGTTTGTACCAGTGACAGCAGCAGCAACATGCTCAAAAACATGGCCAGCTTTTGTAAATCCATAGCGCAGACACAGACCACGTGATGTCAAAGCACTCCTACGACGTCAGCATGAATTAATCATGAATCTCTCGATAAGAGAACAGGGCGGCTGATTCTTCTCTCAGCTCCTCCTGCTGCTCTGAAATTCAACAAGAGGATGCCCAGGCTTTGAAGAGAGAGGGGACGCACGTGTTCAGCTCAGTTTTAGTAAATAATAATATTAATTTTAATAATAGGGGACAGACTGAGTAAGATAAATCAGTGGGCTAGTGAGTTTAAAGGACAAAATGAGCTGGTTGAAAACAGGTTTGCAACCAAGTTCATCATAAAATGTTGCTCTTTTGAAAACTTGTAGTTTGTAAAAAGTGTGAGAAAAGAAGCAGATGGAGAGGCCGCTCCCTCGAATCACTTGTCACTCATCGAATCAGCTGTCTGGACGAATCCTCACACAGACGACTGAATAATACAAGAATATAATAATTAATGTGAAACAGTAACGGATATCACGAAGCATAACTACAAGCTAAAATTTTCAGACTAAATGATTATCTGCTATGCTTGTGTCGTCCAGTGTTTGCGTTTGATCTCGCTGCTTGCCGTCCACTCAGGTGCAGAATTGGACTTCCGGAACAGGAGCGACATACAGAACAGAAACAAACTCAAGTATACGATCCAACAAGTTGATACGCCATCGTTAGTATCGTGCTGATGTACTCAGTGATTCAGGGAATGACAAATCTAAAAAGTTTAAAAAAGACAAAGCAGCTGGTCTTCTGTTCAATACTTTGATCGATCCGCATACTGACGTGAAATTCAGATGGAATGTGACATGACTGTTCAGACGGAGGTCACTTTGAAAAACATCAGATATGGAACTGATTTAGAACCCCATATAAAAAATACCCGAGTTGGAAGAAAAAAAAAAAAAATTATATATATATATATATTAGAAATCATGGAGGGGTCTGAACTTTTCATCTTAGGTGCATGTCCACTGTCAGAGACATAATCTAAAAAAATAAAAATCCAGAAATCACAATGTATGATTTTTTTTTATAACTTATTTGTGTGTTACTGCTGCAAATAAGTATTTGAACACCTGTGAAAATCAATGTTAATATTTGGTACAGTAGCCTTTGTTTGCAATTACAGAGGTCAAAGGTTTCCTGTAGTTTTCCACCAGGTTTACTGCAGCAGGTCCATTCCTCCACACAGATCTTCTCTAGATGAACCAGGTTTCTGGGCTGTCTCTGAGAAACACAAAGTTTGAGCTCCCTCCAAAGATTTTCTATAGGGTTTAGATCTGGAGCCTGGCTAGGCCACTCCAGAACCTTGATAAGCTTCTTACGGAGCCACTCCTTGGTTCTCCTGGCTGTGTGCTTCGGGTCATTGTCATGTTGGAAGACCCAGCCACGACCCATCTTCAATGCTCTGAGGGAAGGAGGTTGTTCCCCAAAATCTCACAATACATAGCCCCGGTCATCCTCTCCTCAATACAGTGCAGTCGTCCTGTCCCATGTGCAGAAAAACACCCCCAAAGCATGATGCTTCCACCCCCATGCTTCACAGTAGGGACGGTGTTTTTGGGATGGTACTCGTCATTCTTCGTCCTCCAAACACGGCGAGTGGAATTAAGACCAAAAAGTTCTATTTTGGTCTCATCTGACCACAGAACTTTCTCCCACGACTCCTGTGGATCATCCAAATGGTCATGAGCAAACTTAAGACGGGCCTGGACGCGTGGGCCATGCATGATTTTACACTATGACGTCTTAGTGTATTACCCACAGTAACCTTGGAACCAGTGGTGCCAGCTCTCTTCAGGTCATTGACCAGCTCCTCCCGTGTAATTCTGGGCTGATTCCTCACCTTTAGGATCATTGATACGCCACGAGGTGAGATCTTGCATAGAGCCCCAGTCCGAGGGAGATTGACGGTCAAGTTTAGCTTCTTCCATTTTTTAATAATTGCTCCAACAGTTGATCTTTTTTCACCAAGCTGCTCGGCAATTGCCCCGTAGATCTTTCCAGCCCTGTGGAGGTCTACAGTTTTGTCTCTGGTGTCTTTGGACAGCTCTTTGGTCTCAGCCATGTTAGTAGTTGGAGTCTTACAGGTTGTGTGGGGTGGACAGGTGTCTTCATGCAGCTAAGGACTTCAAACAGGTGCTTCTAATGTAGAATAATAAGTGGAGTGGACGTGGACTTTTTAGAGGCGGACTAACAGATCTTTGAGGACCAGAACTGTTGCTGATTGGCAGGTGTTCAAATACTTATTGCAGCAGTAACACACAAATAAATTATTTTTAAAAATCATACATTGTGATTTCCGGATTTTATTTTTTTTAGATTAGGTCTCTCACAGTGGACATGCACCTAAGATGAAAATTTCAGACCCCTCCATGATTTCTAAGTGGGAGAAGGTTTTGGGCCACTTTTACCTGCAATGTGAACTATAATACAAGTTAAAGTTGGAAATTATAATAAAATTAGTTTTGAGAAGTGTCTAAGGGTTAAAAAAAAAAGGGCAAGTTAAAATTTACTTTTTGTTTTGAGAAATTACAAGTTTCTCTAAAGTTTATATAAGTATAGATGGTGTGTTGTAGCTCTTACACGTAGCCCATTTTAACTCAAAAATATTGTTTAATATTACATTACTGGTTTTATATATATATATATATATATATATATATATATATATATATTTAAATTTTTATACTTGTTTCTTTAATCAAACATTGGGCTTAAATAACATTTTTAATGAACATTTCTGCATTTGTTTACGCGTAAAATAAAGAAGAAGAAACACACATGTTTACAGGAGTCGGTTCTGACCTGGCAGGGACTGGTTCTGCTTCTCAAAAGCCTCTTGTCTCATGAGAAGCCGGTTTGAAAAGTTCCTCTCATCAACATGCAGGAAGGGTTCCGGACCCGGACCGGCAGACTCTCCGCTTGGTTCTGCGGTTCTGCTCAGAACCACCGCGCACACCAAACTCCCCCAGAACAAACTCATGACTGATGACGGCTGATGACCAGTTTAGAGGTTCTGCTGAGTCCAGATCTTCTCCAGACTCAGAACTCCATCAGAAGCAGCTTCTGTCAGCTGGTCTGCAACTGAGAGGAAGCTCCGCCCATTTAACCCCGCCCCCACCCGTAGAGCCTTATCTGTCTGTCTGTCTGTCTGTCTGGTTCAAATTTAAATGTTATACTTAAATAAAAGTGAAAAAAAAAATCACATAAACAAATAAACACAATTACACGGTTTATAATTGCAAGCAAAAACAATGTATTTTAAATGCTCACCAGATAATTTCATCTTATATATTTTTTGACTGATTTTTTTTTTTTACAAGCTTATGGAAAATAAAATAAAATTGGCTATTAATATGTATTTGACGGTACTCATTGCAAAGCATAACATGAATTAGGTTACCATGAGCTAGATCAAGTAGAGAGTCTTTACTCTAGTAGTTTTCCTACTACACAATTCTGAGATGCAGGAATCTGTCAGAAACCAGAATGCAGAGTGAGTCGCACGGTTAAAGGTGAAGCTGCAGGAGTGGATCTGCTGATAACTGTGAAAGAAAAGAGAACGACTGAGTGAGACGACTGTCAAAACCAGATGTCTTTACTTCTGTTTAGCCTCATGGACCAATTTCATCCAAGACAACTTTTTATGGACTAGTTGGAGGGAAAATAAATTCTTCAGAGAACTTTGTTCGGGCGGCTGTGGCTGAGTGGTTAGAGCAGTCGTTCTCTAATGCGAGAGTTGGGGGTTCAAATCCACCAGCAGTCACATGTCAAAGTATCCCTGGGCAAGACACTGAACCCCTCATAGCCTCTGATGTGTGTCCCATCAGTGTATGAATGTGATAAAGCTCTGATTAGTCTCATTAGAATGATTTGTTCAATTAGCTTTGTAGAGATCTAGTAGAGAGTTGTATGAATGGATAAATGAGGCTCAGATTGTAGTGTAAAGTGCTTTGAGTATCTTGAAATAAGATAGAAAGGCGCTAAATAAGTACATTTGTTTTTTGTTTCTCTCTCTTTTTAAAAAAAAAACTAAAGTAACCTAATAAGTTTGCTAGAATGTGACAAAAATTGATTCAAGATCAAAGAAACTTGGACAAAAGTGATGATTTTTCCAAGATAACTTCTTCTTCTTGCTTTTCCCTCTTCACGCGTTGCCACAGCGAGTCCTCCTCCTCCATCTCACTCTGTCCTCACTCCAACCTGTCCTCTCTAACTGCATCCATCCTCTTTGGCCTTCTTCTATCTTTTTCCATGCAGCTGCATTTCTAACATCCTTCTACCAATATACCCACTGTCCTGTTAAATGTCCTCTGGACATGAGCAAACCTTCTCAGTCTGGCCTCTCTAACTTTATCTCCCACTTGCTCAGCCTGTGCTGTTCCTCTGATGATCTCAGTCCTCAAGGAGAATCTCACCGTCTTCATTTATGCCACTTCCATTTCTTTCTCTTGTCTTTTTGTCAGTGCCACTGTCTCCAGACTATACAAGGTACCTGGTCCCACCACTGTACTGTAGAGCTCAAAATATATCAGAAAGAAACTTTATTTTATCGAGCATGCATCAGGATATTTATTTTTATCTAATGTTCTTCAATGTAAAAGAAGCAATTTTTTTTATTCTCTTATCCAAATGTGCAATGGTTGCTTACAGTAGGAGAGTAAATTTCTAAAACTTAAACTCACTTTGTTTAGCTGATTTAATGACTTTTACGTGTACACAAGATTAAAGGATGAAAATGGTACTTGCATCATCTAGTTTCTACCACTAGATGGCAGCAGTGCAGCATCAACACAAAGAAAAACGTAACGCTTCGCCAATAAATAAATTAAATGAAAACCCAGTTAGGATCTGCAGTTGAACCTCAGATGGACCCAGAGGATCAGGGTTTTTACAGTCTGATGTGGAGCAGATGATAAAAACAAGTCAGTGTTTAACGAGGAACACTGGTCAGTACTTATGTGTGAAAGTACTTAGACTTTGCAGGCCGGATATACAAGTATGCCAGTTAAACATTAAAATTTTGCCTCTGAACCAATAAAAACATTCTCTATGTACTTTAACATCTTATAACTAATTTAAATGTCATTCTGGTACAAATCTGCCCAAGGTCACTGAACATTTGGTATTGGAAAAAATAAAATAAAAATGCTTCTTTGTAAGTTTTTTTTGTTTAAAATGATGGAAAAAAGTAGAATATTTTTATTTATTTATAGGAAAAGTTAAATCCATTATGACATACATCCCCATAGAATTCTTCAACCTATTTTTTTTTATAATTTTATTCGGCTTTTTTTAATTTCTGTATCATCTTTATTATCTGCTTATATTTAAGATACTTTTCATTCTCATTGATTTAGTTAAATCTTAATAATTATCAAAGATAACACAGTTTGATAAAAGATACAATAAGCTGATGCATCAATTCCCAAAAAGCCTAGCATTATCTTAAAACTTATCAAAATTCTTCTAATATTCTAAAAAGTAAGATAAAAATTAAAATTTTTTGCTACCAACATGTTTCCCTTTTAATTGTAAAAAAATACAAACAGTAAATAACAAATCAAAAAGGAGTTTCACTCTAATGTCCTGAGCGTTTCCACAACTCAGACTTTCAGACAAACTCCTCTGTAGTTTTCAGAACTAAAAATTCTGCCTGAATTTGTTTTATCCAAATATTTTTATTGTGAATTTTCACTTGTTTTAAAGTATTGTTTTAATTATGACCGAGGATATTATAAGCTGTTTTAATGGTAAAAATGGTAATATGTTTTCATTAGAAACCAGTTTAACAAAGTTTCACCTTTTAGCATAATATGAAAACATGTCAAATGTATTATTTTTTAATATATATTTTATTTTATTCTTTAAAAAAAAAAAGGAAATAAGTTGGGCAGCACGGTGGCACTGTTAGTAGAGCTGCCGCCTCTCGTCAAGCAGGTCACCTCAGTTCAAATCCCAGCCGGGGACCTTTGGGTGGAGTTTGCATGTTCTCTCTGTGCATGTGTGAGTTTCCTCCAGGTACTCCAGTTTCCTCTCACAGACTAAAAACATGCATGTTAGACTGACTGGTAACTAAATCGTCCCTAGGTGTGAGTGAGAGAGTGAATGGTTGTTTGTCTCTTTGTGTCCCTGTAATGGACTGGACCTGTCCAGGGTGTCCCCCGCCTCTTGTCCAGCGACTGCTGACCCCCGCGACGCAGAGAGGAAAAAGTGGGTAAAGATAATGAATGAATGAATCTCGTCTCTTCTGGACTCGATGTGACGCCCAGATTATTTACACGCAGAATAACCATCTGGATGACCTCTCCATGACTTGCAGTTGAAAAATCATTAATCACAATCATCCCAGTGCACCCAGAGGCTGTTTGTTTAGAAGATCTGTTTGCATAAAAGCATTAATTATGGCATGTGGCGTTAGCTGTCTGCTGTGGTTAAACCCCCAAATGAATTCAGCTCGTTCTGCCATCGCTCTGCTGTGAAATGTGATATTCCAGAGCAACACTCAGAGTTAATGCTCTAATTTTCATGTGGCAGCCAATAACCTTATCTTAAAATTAGTTACGCCGTGTTTCACTCCTTGCACCCAGGCTGCTCCTGAAGATTGACACCCTTCGTAATGTGCACCCGCGGAGTCTTCTGGTGCCAGAGCGCAAGTGAATCCTTCCTCAGCTGGCTTCTTCTTCATCATAGCTTTTGTGTGACAGGGGGTCTCAAAGTGGCAGTGAGCTGACACATGTGTCCTCCCAGCTCTGGGAGTCTAAACACACAGACTGCAGGATGGATGACAGCCCGAGTCTCCAGGATCAATTTCCCACAAATTAGATACAGTGATGCTTCATTTCTCCACATAAATAGCTGCATCTATGTGGACTATTTTGGAAATTTGCCACTTTTACTCTGGAAGTCAGTCCCCCCCCCCCAGTGTCTGTTTAATCCTTTTATAAAGCACACACTCTCTCGCTTTTTGTTTCATTCTGCACAGGATGCTGCAGCAGCGTCTTTTAACAAAACGTTCCTCCGTGCTAAACGTCTTTCCTTGCCTAACTTGTTACAATGGACATCACTCTCTATTCATATTCATTTGTGTTAATGAATCTGAAATCATCTCCCTGAGGAAATAAAGCTGGCTCTGAGTGAATGGTGATAAAATTCAGCTCTGAGATAATTGAGATTCATGATGAAATCAGCATTGATATTTTGTTGATTTGTGCCTTCAGTCGCAGAAACTGAAGCAGTAAAGTGTTGTGATCAACAACATCCATCCATCCATCCATCCATCCATCCATCTTCCACTTATCCTTAGTTCAGTCACAGATGTGCCACCTTCAGGTTAAACAAATCTCAGATATCTGACTCCCCAGAGATTTTCTCCAGTTCCTTCTTGAGGATCCCAATGTGCTCCCAAAGAGAACTCAATCCTTGCTCTCCTCTACAGTCTCTTATGGTAAATGTCCAAAACAGTTCTAGAAGGAAGTTCCTAAAAAGCATCTTATTTGGACTCCCAACCCACTTCCGCCGAGTCCTTTTGATGCGGCGTTAATCCAAGATCTTGTTCTTGTGATCATCATGCCCCTCACTGACTGCTTGAATATTAGGCCAAGTAAAGTGAATGCTTTGGATTTGGCTCAGCTCTTTCTTCATCCCAGTACTTCACAGAAACATCTTTATTACCACAGGCCTGTCCTCAGATCTGTCCATCTCCAGCTGCTGCCATTGATTGTGAACAGGACTCACTGTCGCTAGAACTCGCCGCAGATTTACAGGAGCTGACGTTCATCTCGGCTGCTTTGTACGGCCCAAATACTCTTTAAAGATCATTGCCAGAAGACACCAACAGAACATCATCTGCAAAAATCAGTGATGAAGCCCTGAGGTTTTCAAACCTGACACCCTCCTCTCCTGAGATACCATCCATGAAGACCACAAGCTGGATTGGGGACAAGAATAATTAACGATTAAAAAATAAATTCAGCTATAAACCATAAAGGGTTGACGCACAATTAGAAAAGGCTAACACTGATAGAGAAAATAAAAGCTGCTCTCATGCTTTGTTTTATT